ATTGTGAAAAAGTACTTATTTTATCATAAAAAAGGTTTAAGCATTTGGATTCTGAGCCATAACTGATGAAAAGTAAAAACGCAAATGAACGTCCGACCAATAGAAAGTCATTGCTTTATTGAAATACTTAAAAAATATATCAACAATACAACAACTATAAGCACTTCGCTCTTCCAGAATGATATCGCTATCGATCGAATCAATCGATCAAAATGTAATTCTTTAGCTCTGTTCAAACACAATGCCAATCCAAGTGCTCCACATTGACAACTGTTATTTACTCCTTTTAAATCTCAATATTGACCACACATTACAGTATTTAAGAAAGAATTCCACTGACTTCCTGATACGACCGCCCCTTTACGGATTATTGCCATTAACATCATCACAACAAAGTGCCTCTATAGCAGCAGACCCAAAAGTGCTATTTCCTCCCATGCCCCACACATGCTGAAGCGATGAATCCATGAAGAAACAAGAATAATGTCAAACCAAGTGTCTAAGTAAAAATCTCTTGAACGATTACACACAAAAAAGGCCTAAATGACAAGTGAGATCAATTACAACACGATAAAAAGCAGATTTTGACTAAATAAGCTGTTGTTAAATAAATATAGCCAATTGAAAACACCCTCCACACTCATTCACTCGCTCACTGCAGGTCGTCAAACAATTTCCTAACTTTGTCTCAAGTTACCGCAGCGATAAAACCACGGCATACTCTTTCATGAAACACAAAATGCTGGAAGAAAAGGAGCTATATTTACACGGACGATTGGCGTTTGTTGACCCCTGCCAATCCCGCTCTCATTCCGCCCCAACTTTGTAGATCAGGCTTTAATTTTGAAGCGTCTGCCACGGGACAGTGATGAATAGGCTGCATCAAGGAGGGCTTAAATTACCCCTCTCCCTAGTGGCAACTGACTGACCGCGAGGAGGAGAGAGGTGTGTGTGTGTGCGTGTGCGTGTGAGTGTGTGTGTGTGTGTGTGTGTGTGTGTGCGTGCTGGTGACCTAGTAACGGCAGACAGAAAAGAAAGAGAGCTGGTCAGCATTTGGCCTCTCAACCCTGCTAGCTCCGCACAGCCCAGCCAAACATCCAGGCAGGGGGGGAGAGAAGAGAAAGTCTATCCATGTCTATAAGGGGGGGGGTGAGGGTGAGGGTGGTGAGGGTGAGGGTGGGGAGGGAGGGGGGATCACACATGGGGATCCTGCAGAAAGAAGGAAAGACAGCATCCACTCCATCTCTCTCAACCCGTCTCGTCAACGCAATCCGAGACGGTCATTATGAGTGGAGAGGAGCCGACGTGTTTTTCGTGAAGCAAAAATTTCTGAATGAATGAAATGAAATGTTGGTTATCGCTGAGAGAGAGGGTGGATCTCTGGAAGGGACGCAAGGATGAACTTAAATTGTGTCATTCACTTTTCCACTTTTGAAAAGAAGTTTAAAACTAACACTTTGGGACTCAGATTGTAGATACAGTTGTGTTTGTAAAGCCTATTGTATACGTGCACTTAGTACTAATTACACTGTAAAAAGGGTAAAGGCAAAATAGGCATTAGTTTCAGCCTATACTTATTTTCTGTTTTTTCTTTCTGCTGCTCTGTAACAACGTGTAAAATTGCACAAGAGACTGGAAATAAACTTCATTCATTCAGTGCTTTTACTTTTTTTACCGGCAGTTTTGTAACTTTCCAGGTTATTTGAGGAAAAGGGCATCCAGTTTTGTATGTATTCCTGCACATGCAAATATGGTTTAGTCAAAGCCGGACAGTTTATTTTAAAGAAGATCATTTTTGGAGGTCGGAGAAGCGTAAGGTGGATGTTCATGCTACATAATAATTGGTGAAAGTACGATGGAGCTGCAGTGACAACAGCGAGCTCTTATAGCCAGAGGCTTGGCCCAAGGCTGCAGACACAATCAAAAACAAAACAAAAATGAAACAGAGGAGAAAGTATAGGCTGGACTGGGAGGTTTTGTGAGATTCTTTGAATATATTGTGTTCAAAATAAGTTCAGGATAACAGAAAGAACACAGGACTTTAGGTTTTGGATGAATTGCACTTTTAAAGGCTGTCACGAACTCATCTGCCTTAATTCAGGACCACTTTGACAACTCCGACAATTTGGATCAAAACAAACATCTAAACGGAACATTTTAGAGAATTGTTAAAAAAAATAAAAAAAATAATGTCTTCACTGACAATTGAATGAATATTGTAAATGTGCTTCCATGAAATTGTCTGAACAAAAAGCAGCTTGTGACAAGTCGTTCAATATTTCTAAATAACACTGACAAATGACAATACGTTCTAAGGTTTTTGTTGTTGTTTTTTTTCTTGGTGTCCTTCTCAAATATCACACACATAAATGACACCTCAGCAACAATAGCCAAAGTGTCGAAAGACAGTCACACAAACATGATACACAGAAAAACAAAACCAAATAATGACCATTGACATTCAAGTTTAAGAACGAGATTTTAAATTCAAGTAAAATATCTATAAAGGTCAAATTATGGTCACAATACGCCAATTTATAATAATCAAAACTGGACACAGAAAATACTGAAGTCAGGGCAAAGCAACTGTATACAAACATGACCGAATTTTGATTTTGGCCTCACGAGTATTTCCAAACTCCGTCTTGCACACAGCGATAGGAGCCAAAAAAAGAAGAGTTGCCTTTTCTCCTCCCGCGTATGCAGTCCCACCGCTGCTGTGCCGTGCTCTGTCCCTCCCCCTGGCTCTTTATCCACTCTACTAGAAACCAGTTTGCCGTGAAACCGGTGCAACTCGCCACGCCAATGTGATCACCGCGCGCGAACAAGGAGAAGAGGGGAAAGAGAAGAGGGGGACGCGCGGTCGCATAGCAGTGCCAAAGAGCAAGCGAGACGCACAGATAAATCACTGCAGTTTCACTCTGGCGCGCAATACTTTACTCTATAGGGAAGACACCTTTTTACGCACGAGATTGCTATGCATTTTTGGATATGTTTACTTGCATTTTAATAGTCGACAACAACAAAAAACTATTCAAAATTACGCGCGCATGGCTTTCTAAGATTTCTTAAATACGTTTTGGCTATTTCTCTGTTCATTGTGGTGTTAATATTGAGGAGAGATTTCAAGCGTGTCACAATAAACGTCCACACGTGCCATGCGTCGGTGGATAGACCCTTTGGACCCGTGCGTAAAGCGAGAAGTGTTCCAAAAGCAGGGTCCCGACTTGTCTCCCTATAACCTCGCTCCATACACACCTACTCTCACACACACACACACACACACACACACACACACACGCACACACACACACATGCACACGCACAGGCAGACACACGCAGAACACACACACACACACACACACACACAACACACGAAAACAACAACAAAACCCCAATAACTTTTTACGCAAAAGAGAAAATCTCATTGAAAACCTATATATATTTTTCAGAGTTACATAAAATGACAAGACTTTGGGAAGGCGCGGACGGAGAGGCACTTGGACATGAGTCACACGCACGCCTGTCAGATGGTTTCACGCTGAGCCGATGCGCGTCATGGCCGACAGTCACTGCGTGAAACGGGGCACAAATATATTGGTGTAAATGCATGTGGAGTGTGGAGTGTCACGTGTCCCTCCTATTGAAAACATAATAATAAAAACAAATCAATTGGAATACTTTATACTTTGAATATGCGTGGAGAAAAGTTAAGAGTGAGCAAAAATACCCACATGTTTTGGCGTATTTATGAATTAATTGCGTCAACTTTGAGTGAATTCAAATTGTGTGATTAGGATTAGACTTAACGTTTTATTAGGCCTATATTTTGTCATACACACAAGTTAACAATTTTTAGTTTAAAATGTATCTTTATAGATGTGCAATACTGTCCAATACGCATCATCACACATAGACAACGATAGACACACGTTCCTGCAATTAAAAAAATAAATAAAAAGTTCATATACTTGCAGAAGCTGGAAATGTCCGTGCTTGCTTATTTTCTCAACTTCAATTATTTTTCAACTTTAAACTCAGTGCGCAATGCAAATAATGTGTATAAATTCATGCAAAATTGTGCGCTCTTCTCTGCGCCAGACATTCTCTGAACAAAATAGTCATCATTAGGCCTATAATAATGTGTATTATTATTGCAAAGGACGAGCAGCCATGTGAAAAGCCTTTTTTTTTTAAAATGTTTTACTTGTGTCGTAATTGTCTAATTTATAAGGAATATAGACCAGAGTTTTGTGTCCAGAAGGAGTTACCACAAGTCATTGGACGTTGAATTTGTAGGATTTATACATATATAATTGTGTCCACGTTGACTGCATTTGACAACAATAGGATGAAAATCTCTAGAACAGTTCAGACTTGTTGTAAACAGACTCAAAAACCCGCTGCTTTTGACGTCCTTCAGTAGATCACAGGACGCGCGGGGCTGATCTCCGTCTCCCAAAGACTCTGAGGGCTCGAGTTCTAATCCTTTGCAGAACAATAGAACTGGAAGAGTTACAAGCCGCGTCCGTGCGTGTTAGAAAAGTAGTGCGCGTACTAATAACTTGTGCGTAATAGTTACAATCGTCTCTATTTTTTGCATGAATTTTCAAAAGACTCCATTTGAACTTCAAACTTTTCCTTTTTGAGAACATGGCTCAAACAAAGGCAAAGGGATCCACGGGTTGAAATGTGGACATGAAAAAATAAATCTCAAAATGATAAAAATGTTTTAAAAAAATATCACAAACAACACAACAACACGCGGAAGTGAACACGTTTAGAAATGTCAGGTTTACATTCCTCCCAGTAACATTTTAAAGTAGGAGTTTAAGATTCCAGATTTTTTAGAAAGTTTGAAGTTCTTCCAAATACTACTGAAGTATAACAAGAAAATAAATTAGGTTAAATGACTGCATGTCTGAAAGAAGTAAAAAAGCTTGCTTCACTGCAGAGAACCACACACTACCACAGAGAACCACAGAGTATCACAGAGAACCATGAGAACCACAGAGAACCACAGAGTACCACAGAGTCACCAGCGGCTCGTCGCCCTCAGCCGCTGGAGCTGCTCTCCGCGGTCTGTGTCAGTCACTGCGCGGGGAGAGCTCTCCATTGCCCAGGAGCGCGCGCACGCACCTCTGTGAGCGTGCGCGCGGTGTTTGAGAGTAAAGTGTGGAGTGGGAGGGGTATTGTAGTAGTGCAAAGAATGTGTGCGCGCCCAAGTGTGTGTGTGTGTGTGTGTGTGTGTGTGTGTGTGTATGACACTGATGGATGCGCCAATGGAAAGACGGACAGATGCTTGGGCGGATCTAACAGCGCGCGGTGCTGGAGCGGCTCACACATTTCGGTGACGAGATTAGGGCGAAAACAACGTCGCGCGGAGGAAAGAAGGAGCTCGAGGACGCGGTGGATGCAGACGTGGGGCAAATCTGATTCCCCGAGCGGATCAGGGAGGAGAAGGAGCGCTGTGTAGAGCTGAAGAGCGCGAGAGACGACGCGCTGTAGCGGCAGACACGCGGCAGACGAGCGGCACGCAGGCAGCAGCAGCGGCAGTGGCAGCGGAGGGAGCACATCTGGCACAGGGAAGAGAGAGACAGCCTTCAGGCAACTCACCCTCTGCCCTCCTGCTAAGACCCTTGTGTCTTCCGCCTGCTTCTCCAAGGGACGCCTGAAAACAAAGAAAAACGGAATCAACTTTTACGCTTCTATGGAAAGCAAAATGAGGCATAAACTTCTCTTCTGAGCTAGGAGCTTACCTGTCAAATTAAAACATCAGTTGGACAGACGTGCTTTGCGTGGCACTCACAGCGTGTCTGACTCGAGTAGTTCCACGCCAGGGACAAGGCACTTTAAAGTACCAGCCACGAGCAGTAAAGTGTTTTCTCTATAGTCGCTAGAAGAAGTCGTTGCGCTTGAGCCATGCGGCACGCGTGAGCCCGTCCCTCCTCCACCTCCTCCTTCTCCTCATGTACATTATTACAACAAGGGAAACCCAATCAAGCGCGCGGGTCATCGATTCACACACGCGCACACGCACGCACACTTAACCTCAAGTGTGACTGAGTGACTTGCCCCTAGAGTGGATTTGTGTTGGAGACAAAACAAGAGTCAAAACTATCGCACGCAAGACGCACACGGGCAGCGCGTGCACCGCTCCTGACTTTCATCTTTCCACTTTCTCTGAAAGCAACGCTCCGTTTCAGAATGGATTGTACCGCTCCGCTCCCGGGGCTTTGAGTCGTGTGTATTTGGAGATATCTACAGCACAAAGTAAGTACACGGAGCGTCATGTAAACAGTCCGTGTAGGTGAACGGCGTGTGCATGCGCACTGCTGCATCACATACGCGCAGTGTTTCCTTTTCACCGCAGCTCGTTTTGAGCGCGGATCAAGCTGTGAATGACAGTACGGGAGCGAGGGCTGTGGGAGACAGCGCAGGAGTGAGAGAGGCTTTGTGCGCGTGTGTGTGAGCGTGTGTGCGTGTGAGTGAGAGAGACAGAGCTGCGTGACGCCTATCAGCGGCGGAGAGCTTGAACCAGAGGAGGCGCAGGCTTCAGTTGTGGCAGCTCTTGATGTGTTGTTGTTCCCGTTGTTTGCGGACTTTTGACTGACGCCACGTTTGTTTTTATTCCTTTCTTTAAGCTTCTCAGCTTCAGCCCTCGACGACAACTAAAGAGGAGCACACTGCTTTTCGAGAGCCTTGTTTGTGTTTTCTACCGCGGAGTGTCTCCAGTCTCCGTGAATCCGAGAGGCGGACTGGCAGCAGCAGACCGGGACTCGCTGCTCCGCACCTTCCTCTTCTTCGCTTTCGCCTCATTTTGTGTTTGATTCCGAACGTCCTCTGAAGCACGCCCCGCACGCACAGCCCGCTGCTCTATGTGGGAGCCCTAGGAGCACACCCACGGGGGGACGTGTGTATCAAAGGCTTCGCGGATTCCCCAAGGCAGCCTCGGGTGATCGGATCACCGGGGGTCACAAGCGAGAAGAGCCCCGTAGCGCGGCCCCCCACTGCACAACATGCCGCGGAGGAAGCAGCAAGCGCCCCGGCGCGCCTCAGGTACGCACTGACTCCGCTTGTACAAAACTATCTCTCTCCCTCTGCGCCCCCACACCCCCCTCCCTCATGCACTTACTTTTCATTGATATTTCCCACATTATGGAACCGCAAAAGCATCTTTTGTTGAGGCACTCAGTGCAGTTTCCCACAGCACACGTGCGGTAATGCGCGCAGTAATCATTCCCCTGATACACTGCGATCATGTGCGTCCTCTCCGGTTACATCACGCTACCTCTGCGTCCTGCCACTTCTCTACTGCACAGCGTCTTCTGCTTCGATTGTTTACGTTTACTTCACACATTGGTACAAAGTGCACCTCCTGAATGCCCCCTGAAAGATCCGTCAGAAGTTTGGACATTTACAGGTGACACTGCTCTGAGCAAACAGCCGCAGCACTTCTAAAGGCCACAGGTCAGAGTTCCCCGAGAGGACAAGTGCGGAGAGACCAGCGCTTTGTCCGCTCTTTCAGGCTCTAGTTGCTTTTCAACCGAAGTTTTCAGAGTAGTTCCTGTATGCACTGGACTATTTTGGCCGCTGAGACAACACACACACACACTTACACACATACATACACACTCTTTCTCTCACACACACACACACACACTGGTTTCCTCCACTCCACTTGGTTGTACTTATTGACTAAAGAATTAGAGATCCATAGAGTGAAGCGTAGACAATTGGTGAAGCGTTGGGGTCAGCTGACAGTCTCTGCAGCGCAAAGGGACTTGTGCTTTGGACCCCTTTGAATAGATGTTTATGCACGGGCTTATTGTTGTTTCATTCTTTTCTCACGTTCCTATTTTCAACATTTTTCATCAATGTGTATTATTAGATCTACTCTTTAAAACAGCATTTAAATATATTATACAAGTCTTTTCATTTGTTCTATATATATATACATCGCTTACTTTTGACAATACTCCACCCTGGCTTTCTCTATATACCCACTGCACTTTTAGTTTGCAGTTTCTGGGAAGGACTTTCTCATCCTTAAAGCCTAAAGATTATTTTACAGCTCGGGCAGGGCGGGAGTATACTGGAAGCGGGCTTTAATGGACAATTGCCATCTTTGATTTGATGCCTGATTGATCGGCCGTCATGCCGCCCAGCCTTTGATCTGTTCATTCCCGATAAGTGTCAATAAATCACGTCTCCCCACTCTCCCTCCTCCTGCCTTTTCTCTCTCTCTGAAGTCTGTCTGGCCTCACAAACTTGTAGCCATTAACGTTTGGCTTTTAATTGTGGCTATTTATCTGTTTTCGCTCCCTTTGTATCGACATGCATTTCGGACTTTTCTTTTAGCACTTTTCTATTTTGACCCAGCTCCATGAGGGCAGGGTTGAATCTATATCGACAAGCCTGAACGCTATTGTTAAAACTATATAACAGAATTTATGTTTGCTTTGCCAGCCGGGATGTTTTCCACTACTGTGAATTTAACAACTTATTATTTTGCTATTTGGAATATTTATACATTTGCAACTTAAATAATATATATACGTTTATATGAGAAGATTGCACTTTTTTTTATAGTCCTCCATTTTTCCATATATTGCTTTGTCATTTGATCGTATCCAACAAACATCTGAATTTGCATGTTTTATTGTCTTTCTCATATCGATATTATGATAAAGGTGTGTATGCTGGTATAATTATGTGTCTAATATTGCATGCATGCTACTGTCGTTCAGGTATTTTCGATTTTTTTTGCCATGGTAAAATGTGTACCGCATAAATCCATTTCCTTTTAATACTTAACCTTTGTCGAGTAAAAACCCAAAGATTTTACCCTAATATTTCTATCACTTATGCTCCATACGCAACTTCTAACTTTGCATATCGCTCTCAATACTTCATTATACCCGCACCTTTCGTCTTTCTCTGCAGCATCCTGGACCATTGGCTTCTGTACCTGCAAACCCAAACCCATCGCAATCACGCACATGCGCAATAATGAAGTCAACAGGGTTTTTTTAAATTATTATTATTTTATAGCGCAGTGAAAAATGTAACTATTAGCTTAATCGCGAGGCGGAAGACTGGTTAGCTCCATCAGAACGCGCCCCCGTCAGAGTGACTTTGTTTCATATTTGATTTAATTGTCTGGATCCTGACAGCCACATTCGTCAATGGCCCTAATGGTCAATCAGAGGCTGGCACACATCAGGAGACTATGTATTCTCAGCCCTGGGCCCCGCTTGATCAAAATGCTTTAGCGCTAATGGACACAGTGGTTGGAGGAGAAAGGGAGGAGGAGGAGGAAGAGGAGGAGGAGGATGGCTGGGCACGAGTATAGATGGATTGATGGATGGATGAGGAGCAAGGCGACTTTTAATTTTCTGCATGAAGCAAAATGGAGAGGATTGGTAGAGCTCGCTATTTACCTTCTTTTGTATTCTTTTGGATGAGATGGTCTAAAAATGTGGTGGAGATTGAAGTGCCATGCAGACGTACTACTGCAGTGTTTCCCAAAGTAGGGTCCGAGGCTTCCCGGAGGGGGGGAGGCATTTCAGTGGGGCCTCCAAAGTATGGCAACACAACAGCATTTGAGAATTATACCAAACCAACATGAATTTAGTTCAATTTGAATTATGTAACAAATAATGACAATTTCTCCATTGTGAGATCGTTAAAGTCTATCTTATCTTAGCTCATTTTAATTAATACAGTGGTTTCTTCTTATATTTAAAAAGAAAACGTTCAGAATTGAGTGTGATTTATTTGGGTAGCGGCCCGCAAAGACTTTTGAATTGATTAAAGGGGCCTCTGCAGAAGAATGTGCGAACAGCTGTGCTAGAAGGTAAACAATCAGGTACTTGTGTATGGCTTGTTGAAGATTTTTTTCACTTTGACAAAGTTTAGTTGGATTCACCTGTTGGCTCTTGCTTGTTTTGGTTGAAGCAAAATGTGCATGTTGAAGTCCTGCATGATTAATCGCAATCAAATTTGTCGTGGTTGAAATTAGCATGTGGCAAGTATTCAAGTTAGTTTATATAGTATAGCTTTTGTATGTAATGTAAATGCATGAATCTTTTATTCTATTCTTTGAGGTGTGTAGGAATTGTGTATGAGGTAATGGCTGTTTCAAATGGAACTAAAGTTTAGACATTTTCAACATACAGGATATCACAATCGCAAAGTCAGTATCATATTATTTGCGTGGCCTAGTACATATTCAACCCAAAACAACATTTTACAGCGTTGTCCCTGTGCATTCAAACAATATATACAAGTCATTTGGAAATCAGAGTAAAAAAACAAAAACATAGCTAATTCTACTAAAATTCAACACTTATAACAGTATGTCAAATTTTAAAATGTATGTCTTTTTGCATGGATTGTCTTTGCCTTTTCTTCCCACCAGTTTAGAGTAATGTATTTGTATTCCCCCTATAAGAGTTATAAAATATTTAAAACATGAAACATATTTTACAGTACAGTCTTATGCTTTCCTAGTTCCACCATATCAAAGAAAGCAAGTTGCAAGTTAGTACACAACGTAAAGTTACCACCAACTTTTCTTCCTTGTCTTAAATCAGTAAAAATGGCGGCTAACAAAATCCTACATTTGCCAATTTCCTCCTTTTTTTTTTACGTCTCTCTATAACTCTTCACAGCTGCAAGTTCTAAGACCCGGGTTACTGCATGGCACACACGCGTTGACAAATTGATTGCGCGTTTGTGACGGTTATAGAAGGATGGAGAATGATAGAGCCCTGATTAGGAGCTCGGGTGGAGGAAAAACGTTGTGCTCCACCCAACTTAACAACCATTTTCCTTACTTCTAAGTCTTGCTTCTTGGCTTGGTTCTTCTGCCCAATGAGGAAATTGCATTGAAACTCCTATAGGACCAACATGCATTTTCCCATTCATTCAACCATCAAATGTAATGAGCTAAGCGGTAAGCCATTTAAGGTGGAAGCTGAAATCGGTTATTCATTAAAACGCTTGTGTGTTTTTAATTGTGCGGCCGAATCGGAACTCATGTGATTATTAATCGCGATCACATCAAAGTAGCAGGTTTGTCAAAAATGCAAAGAAGGGATCAAAATGTTTCCGACCGCAAACTTTGTACTCAACAGAAAACAAATGTACTTGTTCAACTGGTGATGTCACATGTATTAGAGGCCCTTAAGTATTATAAACATGTACTGTACATAGCATCATTCTGTGTCTGTCTTAACACTGTGCCATATAACCCTAGCACAGGGACTGGCCTCCTGCTGGTGCCCAGAGTCAAAACTAAACATGGGGAGGCTTATGCTGCTAAAATTTGGAACAGTCTTCCTGAAAATGTGAGACAGGGTTCTTCTCTAACAATAATTAAATCCAGGTTGAAAACAGTTCTGTGTTTACGAGTTTACAGTATACTACCACTACTTAGGCCTATACCACTACTGCTATACTACTCCTACTTAAAGGCCTATCCCCCTACCTAGGCCTACTACTACTGACTACTACTCCCACTCCCACCACCACTACCTCACTACTCCTTAGGCCTAACATTACCGCTGCTATTTCTACCACTTATAGGCCTATCCTTCCTCTTAGACGTACCGCTACTACTACCATTAATGATACTACTACTACTACTACTACTATTACCACCATCACTACCACTAATGCTACTTCTTCTCCTTAGGCCCACCACTGCTGCTATTAGGAGTACTATCACTGCTGCTAATACTAAGCCTACTAATATAACTAAGACTACTACTTGTATTACTATTGCTACAACTTAGCATACAGCTGCTGTTACTTGGACTACAAA